CCTTTATCCACTGTGCCATGTGTTTTTAAGGACATCTGTGTATGAATTTCTGGGTATTATAAACCTAATGTCTTTTTTACAAGTTCTCATATTGTAATTTTTTGCTGTTAGCATTTCATGTTTTTACCAGTGCTCATATTGCAATTTTTGTTGTTATTATCGCTTTTCTCTGGCACTCCTTATTACTGGTTGCCATATTGTATGGTCGGCTCAGGTGATTTTTGTGGCCTAGCATATGTGCTGATTTCAAAATGTTGTAATAAATATGGCGACAAAGATGAGGACAATAGTCCGAATAATGTAAATAGTGTTATTTTATTATTTTTTTTTGCAATCTGAGAATGGAAACAAATCACTTTTTAGTATCAAAAAGAATTAAACCATTTTGATAATTTAATAGAAAACATTTATTTAAGATATTTCCAGATTGAAATTCTGTTCTCATCCTATTTCTGTTCAGAAGTATGATGCTTTTTGCCTTTAGTGTTGTCAGCTGTGCTATGATTTCTTAGCCACATTCAAACTAAATCGCTGCTGTCCGAAAAATCCAATAGAAGACCTATCAAATTTATGACTAGAAGATTTGCCACAATTTTAACTTCAAGACTATTTCTTTTGTCATCACAGAAAACCCTCTTTCAGTCTCTGTAGAACTTATTGCAATGGTAGTAATTATATTTTTAGCTATTATATATCGTATATTAATATATAAGATTATTTTCAGACAATCTTCGTCATGAGGAGGAACTGCTTGTTTTTATGATCATCATAATAAATTCTGTCTTTTACCTGACATTTTAGCCATGAAGCAGGCCAAACACAGGTATATATGAGAAGACGAACATAGGTAGATATGAATCGAAATATATAGATGTAATTATGAATGGTCATGGTGAAATTAGCCATTTCCATACAGGAAACACTCAACATTCATTTGCCAAACTGTTAACATTACTGTCATTTGAAATTTATAAAATCTTTCTCTTAAAACATTTTTTTAGGAAAACAGTTTTCTCAAGTCCATTAACTGTTATTGCTCTTTCTGGCACTGATGGAAGTTTCCTTCCTAACCTTTGTTTAAGGTTGTATGGAAAGTCAACATTTCAATTATATGATTATTTTCCTCTTCTGGTTACTCATTTTAGTTGTTGAGCATCAAAAGTCCTTAAGTTATGTGGATTTTTTTATTTATTTATAAAGCTTTTTGAGATTCTGTAGCACCAGTCTATAAAATCTTATTAAGGATCATCTTCTTTAGAACCTACAAGGTTCATTCACTTGAAATTATTTTTAACCATTAATCTGAGAAAATAGTTGTATATAGCTGATAGTTTAGATATTTCTGAATGAGCTGGATGTCATGCATGACATCCACATGAAAGTCTTGATTTGAGAAGTCTTTTTAAGAACATGACTCAAGTTTTCAGGTTAATATCTTGGTTTTTTAGCATCTTGTGGTGTTGGGTTGATATAGAAATGACACAGTGAACTACCTGGATTTCTCTAAAACCTGCACTGCCAGATGGCACAAAACCTATTCTCAATATGCTAAATGTGTTATAAGTTAAAATCTTGACTCTCCACTCAGAGGCAGAAAAAAAAACTATTATTGTAATGAAATGAAAAGACTTTATCCAGAATGCACTGGATAACAGCAAACAGCTGTTAACTAGCTTAAATCAGAGATGGCTAGTTGAATAAAATAAAACACAGGTACATATGAGAAGACTAACATAGATAGACAAATAAAATCTATGGATGTCAGTTGCATTTATTTTTTATGAGCAAGCAACCACTATGTGATATGGAATCCCTATTATTTTTTTTTTTATATAATATTCGTTCAAATGTCTTTTGCTGTATGCACACACACATGCATTCTGCTACCAACAATCAATGCCTCACATTTCCAAATGATATTATTATCTATGTTTTTTACTGTCTTTTGACTTAGGGATTAAAGTTTCTTAGGTGCAGATACATACCATAATTCTCCATGTATAATACGCCTTCATCCATAATACGTACACCTAAAATTATGCTGAAATTGTGGGAAATTGCTTCTACTCATGCATAATACGCACCCCTTGTTTGGTAATCAAACCCTATAAAGTGTACCTCTCTAATTTCATTATGGCCAGTGTTTACTACTCTGTAGTGAAAAGAGATAATCATTTACCCAGAAAAAAGTTTGTGTTCTGTGTGCGATCTGCTGAAGAAAAATTACAAAAAGTAGTTAGCAAAAATCTATTTCAATGACTAGAATCTATGCTATTGTTCTCCTCTCCCCTGAATGGCGTGTCTAATCAGAAAGATCTCTCGATGAACCAAAGCCGTTGTTTTTCGCTTATAAAGGCAGAAGATTTTCTGAACTGGGGAGCTGAACACGCATTATTACTTGTGAGAAGTGAAGGTTGGACGTGTGACCAAGTTTTGTTGTTTCTACTTTGTTTGTTGGACTGTTACGACGGAATATCGTTTGAGCAATTTGGCTACAAGTGTTGTGGTCGAGAAACAGAAGAAATCTATTGCAGTTGCTACTATAAATTCAGTCTTTTCTTTTCTTTACTTCAATATACTCTTATTTTTAAAAAAATTGTTTTAAATATATTATTATTCTAATTCAGCTTTATGATAATTCTTATTTTATTTTATGGCAATTTTTTAAAGATTTTTTGTAGCTGTGCATAATATGCACCCCTGATTTTGCTTACTACTTTTTAGAAAAATAATGTATATTATACATGGGGAATTATGGTATCCATATATATCTATATCTATCTATCTATCTATCTATCTATATATATATATCTATATATATATATATATATATATATATATATATATATATATGAATCTGTTTTCAGTATCAAAAGTTTAAGCATCATTTTCATCCCCTATTTTAGACAGGGGAATTTACAATATTTACTCTATCTTCCCTAATGTACTGTGTCCATTCAGGATTTAGGAAATGATAGCCTTCCTATAATTTGTAGTTCTGAACAAAAACTGTCCCCTTATTATACGACCCAGCCCCTGTTCCACCCTGTACACAAGCTCATTAGGTAGGTTACTTAATGTTTCCTTCTACCCCTCTTGCCCTCATTAGCTCTTTTGAGTGACAAATTCTCCAAGCGCTCTTTCCTCATTATGTTTCCCAGAAATTACAACTGTCAACTTTTAAAGTATTGTTTTTGTTTCCATTTTCCTTAAAACTTCCATGTTGCTCATATTCACAGTCCATGGTATTCTTAGCATCTTTCTCTAGCTTTTGGAAGGTATCTTTTGTTGTTCAGATTTCCACCTCTCAAGTCTCCTCTTCATTTGTCTGGAAATTTTCACTGCCATTTATAAGATTAGATTTTACATCGAAATTCAGCTCTCTTTTCTTTTTTTTTGTTTCTGATACGATCTTCTTGTTTCTTTAATTGCAGTAAATAAATGGACTTCAGTTAAATTTAAAGATATCTTTAACTGTCATTATACAGTCAGACACTTTGTTCTTGGTGGCTTTTATGACCTTTAGCCAATCAAGGCAGATACCGTATTTCAATTATTATGATCAATGTCGTCATTAACTTTACAAATGATACCAAAATTTTGTCTGTCTCTTCAAACTGTTTCACCCACCCTGTCTTGGCTGAAGTACAAAGATAAATAATAATCTTTTGACAGTCAATCTTTATCTTGTACATGCTCATCGCTTCAGGACATTGACGATCATGGCTCTCTACAACTTCCTATCCTTTGTATCTCTTAGCTTGTTAGGTAGTGTTTCCTTGCTGCTTTTCTCTATCCCTTTTAACCTCAATATATCCTATGAGTATTGTATTATCCAAGCCTCCTTTGCTTATGTGTTCTAGAAATTTCAACTCTCTAAATCTTTTTTTGTTTCAACTTCTTTAAAACTTCCTCATTACTCACATGTTTCATTCATGGCATTTGTCAACATCTTTCTGCAGGACTACGTCTCTGTTGTCACAAGTCACCTCATCATCTATAAAGAAATTGTCCTGAATTAACTGCTCTATATGAGAGGACTGATATTACATTGAAGTTCAGTATGTTTTCTTTCTTCAATATCTGTCTATATTTCTGAGATGAGGTATTATGTACATTATTTACATTATTCGGACTATTGTCCTCATCTTTGTTGCCATATTTATTACGTTTCGGCTGTTGTATGCTCCAGCCTTCTTTAGGTGGTTGGAATGTCAAACTGAACCCTTTATTTTGCTCGCTGGGGTAGACTGTTGTAGTTCCGCGTGCCATGTTTAATGGATATCAGTTATCTCCTGTTAATTTTCCCTCTAAAAGTTCTCCACTGCCTTAACTGGGTATTGAACCCACACTCTTTGGGTCCTGTCACTGGATCTAACAAACTTCCTGAAGGACACATGGAACAGTGGATAAAGACGTTGGTTAGATCTAGTGACAGGACCCAAAGAGTGTGAGTTCAATACCCAGTTAAGTCAGTGGAAAACTTTCAGAGGGAAAATTAACAGGAGATAACTGACAACTGACATCCATTAAACATGGCACATGGAACTAGAACAGTCTACCCCAGTGAGCGAAATAATGGGTTCAGTTTGACATTCCAACCACCTGAAGAAGGCCGGAACACACAAGGCTGAAATGTTGTTTTCTTTCTTCCTGATAAGATCTTCCTGTTTCTTTAATTACAATAAAGGAATAGGCTGAAGGTAAATTTAAAGATGCCTTTAACTTTCATTATGCTTTCAAACATATTATTCTTGATAGTCTTTATATATCTTAAGCCAATCAAGGCAGATGCCATATTTTTTATTATTACTTAGATCAACATTATCATTAACTTTCTAAATGATACCAAAATGTTGTATATGGCTTCAAACTCTATCTTTCACTCAACTTGCTTTGGCTGAAGTACAAGATTAATAATCTTTTGATAGAAAATGTCAATACTGTTCAAAACTCACAGACAAAAAAAAAGCACAAGGACATCAGCATTTTATCAAATA